AGAAGACTTTACACAGTGGCCCCACTCTCCCATCATCACTACAAGATCTTGGTGAAACATTAATGCAACTCTGGATGGAAATAAATGTTGTGACATTGCATAAGATTATCAAAATGATGCCATTGCAAATGCGTGCCATAGTCAAAACTAAAGGAGGCCCAACGAAATATTAGAACGTGTGACTCTTTTTTTGGCCAGGCAGTGTATGTGTGTATAAACTATATGTATAATTGATACAAGCTTTTATTTTTTATTTTATCTTTTTTTACCTTTTACATTACTTTTGTATTCATTTTATATTCATTTTTGGCTCAGATTGTATGTTTTATGTGATCATATTATGAACAACTAAAAGCAATTTGGGCTTTTTCATCATTTGGCACTCATATTGTATTTCTGTGGTTTGAGTCGCTTCTAGGTTCCTACCAAGGGGAGCCTTGCTGCATGTGAGCCACCTTAACAAAGCCAGTGAGCTTATTGAAGTATAACGTTTTCTTTGTTTCATTGAATAATTATGTTTCTAAGACCCAGTATCTCTTGGATATGAGATTTTATTCGTGCCTGTGCCCCTGTTAGGGAGGTTTCCTTGCACTTCCTGGACTACATCTGGCCTGGCCTGGCCTATACTTTGTGCATCAAAGTATGACAGGGTGTCACTGGAAATGGAAGTGAGGGAATGTCTCTTCAACAGGGACAATAACAGACTGAGAATATAGCAGAAGCTCAACCCTCTTCCACTGTATAAACAATTGTTTGGTATTGGCTTTAATTAGCGTTGGCTCTTTCAACATTGAAAAATGTTTTAGCTTAAGATAGGGTTTAAACTGTGTTGAGAATTCTACAATATATTTGAACTCTACATATAAAATAATGGACACACCCAGGGTAGAATATACAATTCTACACAAAATGCCACCTGATCTCATGCTGTTTTATCATCCAAAAAAAGAGGAAATAAGAAACTTTGACAGGAACGCAGACATTTCACTGTTATCATTATTATTATTTTCAAAGATATGTGCTGCTATAGCAACCAGCGGCTTGCAAATCATTTGAATCTACCTCCTGAGCGCTGAAGATATCATTTTTTTTATCTGGATTTAGTTTTGTTATGATGTGGGGTTGCTTCAGTTTGTCAGGTCTAGGTTCAGCATCAATATGTGCTCAAAAAATGAGGTCAGCTGCCGACCTGAATATACTGAATGATCAGGGTTTTCCATCAATGGATTTTTTTTCTTCCCTGGGCTTATTCCAAGATGACAATGCCAGGATTCATCGGGCTCAAATTGTGAAAGAGTGGTTAAGAGAGCATGAGACATCATTGTCACACATGGATTGGCCACCACAGAGTCCAGGCCTTAATTTGGCACTCATATTGTATTTCTCCATTGAGGATCTTTGGGATGTGCTGGAGAAGACTTTACACAGTGGCCCCACTCTCCCATCATCACTACAAGATCTTGGTGAAACATTAATGCAACTCTGGATGGAAATAAATGTTGTGACATTGCATAAGATTATCAAAATGATGCCATTGCAAATGCGTGCCATAGTCAAAACTAAAGGAGGCCCAACGAAATATTAGAACGTGTGACTCTTTTTTTGGCCAGGCAGTGTATGTGTGTATAAACTATATGTATAATTGATACAAGCTTTTATTTTTTATTTTATCTTTTTTTAACTTTTACATTACTTTTGTATTCATTTTATATTCATTTTTGGCTCAGATTGTATGTTTAATGTGATCATATTATGAACAACTAAAAGCAATTTGGGCTTTTTCATCATTTGGCACTCATTTTGTATTTCTGTGATTTGAGTCGCTTCTAGGTTCCTACCAAGGGGAGCCTTGCTGCATGTGAGCCACCTTAACAAAGCCAGTGAGCTTATTGAAGTATAACGTTTTCTTTGTTTCATTGAATAATTATGTTTCTAAGACCCAGTATCTCTTGGATATCTAATCTTCACAACTAAAAGAAAAATGTTTTAGCTTAAGATAGGTTTTAAACTGTGTTGAGAATTCTACAATATACTTGAACTCTACATATAAAATCATGGACACACCCAGGGTAGAATATACAATTCTACACAAAATGCCACCTGATCTCATGCTGTTTTATCATCCAAAAAAAAGAGGAAATAAGAAACTTTGACAGGAACGCAGACATTTCACTGTTATCATTATTATTATTATTATTTTCAAAGATACGTGCTGCTATAGCAACCAGCGGCTTACAAATCATTTGAATCTACCTCCTGAGCGCTGAAGATATCATTACCAAACAAATGTGATTCATTTGTTTGTCTCGGAGCCATAAGATCTTTCTTCAAGCTACCACCTTATCAATAGGAATCAATTTAGATAGAAACAAATAGTTGATAATTACGGCTTGAGAGTGCAGAAAGCCTGAATGAATCAAAACACGCTATATAGACATCGAGAAGGTGTGCGCACAAAATTATTTTTATTATTCATGGGAAACATGACAGCAGGCAACTTTTAGGGCACACTTCAGTCTAATATGAAAATTGTTCATTTAAACTCATAGGGGAGGCACTATTGCATCAATATCATGCAGTTTGCTACCCTGCTTACTAAAACAATAAAGTGACACGAAACTTATAAATGAATTCAAATACCTTAACTATTATTAAAAATGTATCTTATGTGTGTATCACTCGGCTGTAGATCCTCAAATCATCTCTGAATTGGTGCTGACACTGTCCTTCCTTCTAGAGGGGGGCTACTTTTGTTCCCCATGGTCCCTGTATGTGTTGTAAAGTAGTCACCACTCCAAGCCCGCTTCCGTGATGGACTACAATCTCATGTTTAGTTTACTAATTTGTATTGAGAGTGAGTGAGCTTGGAGCGGCGGCTACTTTACAATACACACAGGGACCATGGGGAACAAAAGTAGCCCCCCTCTAGAAGGAAGGACAGTGTCAGCACCAATTCAGAGATGATTTGAGGATCTACAGCTGAGTGATGCACAAATAAGATACATTTTTTTTTTATAGCTAAGGTACTTGAATGTATTTTTAAGATTTAACTCCTGAGTTTAGTGTCACTTTAAATTCTTTTTAGGGATAACTGTCTATTTTTTGTACATCCTGCAGGGTTGGCCATATTTCCCATAACATTGCCCTAGCTGAGTGTTGGGATCCTTTAGTAAAATCTTAAGTCTTGCCACAGATTAGATGGTTAGGATTAATTCATGGTGCCTGCTTCACAATATCACAGTTACTTTGATTAGTCTAGAGTACAGAGATGATTTAAAACATAAGATGAAGTTAAAATAAAAATAAAAAATCCCTATTTCAGAAAGGTAATATTTTCACAGTATAATTTCCACTGCGGGCCGAACGATTAATTCTAATATTGCATTAAAATTAAGTTTTATCTATATTTACTTCAGAAAATGCATTCCTTCCACTTCCTAAATAGCAAAGAACATGGCTATCTTACTATAATTATGGTTCCATTTAGCAGACTCCGTCTAATTTTATACAACGCAGTAAATTTCCAATTTTTACACCACTTTCGCCCATTGAAAGCCCATCTTGGTAATTGATGTCTTATTCTAATGGGGAAAAGTTCAAAATAAGAATGGATTGGAGTCTGACTTAAATGTGTTAACACATTTAGAGCCTGAAAGAGATTAAGATTCTCAATTAGATTTCCAAATTGTGTTTTATTTGTAAAAAACAAACACAAAACAAAACACTTTTTTACCGGTTTTTTTTTAATAACACTTTTTTTTCTTTTAAAATGTCTTTTTAATAATGACTTTCATTTAATACATTTTTAAATGATATGAGTTTTCATAATATACTTTTTTACACAAAATTGCTATTTTCAGACTCATCTCTATCCATAGAAAAATATGGTTTGACTCCCAGGTCTATTGTATAACACCCCTCCTCCATGATCCAGTGATCAGGCTTGGAGAGTAGAGAGTTTAAGAATTGTACTATTGTACTATCAAGGAGATTAGGGAGATACAAGTGAGAATAGTAAGGCAGGAGGCTTCATGTCACTGGCTGAGGGTCAGGCTGAATGTATATGTGTATATATATATCATTACATTTGTAAAATGGCAATATTGACCAAGCACTGGGTTTAATAAGCATGATGTAACCTTTATATTACAAATTAAAGTGTTTTATTAAAGGCAAGCACAAACAGTAGGACCTCAAAGCTGTCTCATATTCTTGTTTTTCTTTTTAAATTAAAGGGGTAACTTCAAACTACTCAGATTCCCTCAAATCCCACCTCAGATCCTCATATCCATCTTTCTGACTGTTTATACCATGGATTATCCGTATGAATTGCTAGAACTGCGTTGTACTCAACTTGTCTGTGCTCATCCTGAACATTGGACTGTTCCCTCTGCTATTGTCAGTCCAATCCAGAACTGGAACCTGGGTGCCATTTGTTTTTATCTGACCTTGCTATCAGCCTACTGATTCTGCTACTGTATGCTGTTTGGGCTGACCATCTGTCTCAAAACTTACATTGTTCTATCATCTCTTCTGCGTGTTGTCAGCTTTTACCCCTGGTAACAAAAAGGGGTTATTTAAAGAGGAACCACAACCCCCTATCCCTTGCAGCCAAAGAAAGTGCCATCAGCTATGACACCAGCCATTTGAGGGCTTGCAAGTTTTGATTGAGAGCTGAAATAAGCACACTGGCAATCTAGTTGGCATGCCTTAAAAATAATTACTTTGGGAGACATTAATTTGGTGGGTAAAATTCCTTTTAATAACTATTTAATCAAGTTTTCTCTATTTAAAAAAAAACAACACATAGATATCTACATGCTTCTAGCTTTTCACCAAGTACAACCTGAGGACATGCCTTGCATTCACGGGGTCCATCACATTTACCAGCCATTTGGAATCCTGTACAACACTGCAGATTAATTTTCATATTAAAGTTTAACTTTCTATTCTTTAAGCATTTTTTCTTGCACATATTTAGAACTGTGATATTGGCCTAAAACCCTATCAGAGCACTGATTCAGTGCCTGAGTAAAGATCCTAGAGAGTTTGGGAAGCTATCCCTGGACTTTCTCTGATATAACTCTAGATTGGACTTACTATGCACTGGCATCTGCTTCTGATCCTGATCTCCTGACTGGAACTAGGCTTGCCTAACAACTCTTCTGATAACTGTCACATAGCTTGGATTCTGGTCGCTGCTATTAGCCATGATCCTTTTTTTTAAAATCTAAACTTGTCTGCTATCTGTGCTGATCTCTGGTTGTCCAGCAGTTGCCCTGCAGAAAATCTCAACCCTACCACATCAGGTACTTCTAGAACTTGTACTTTGATGAGAATCTTTAGCCATGCTTGTGCCACCTTAAAGGTGGCTAAAGACTCTCATCAAAGTACAAGTTTAAAGTCCCTCTAAATGTGATGTTTGGAATCTTAGCCTATTCAAACACCTCACTGTATGTAGTTTCTGTACTCTTGTTTTTTTTAATATGGCCTTCTATTCTTGGATTTCCAACTAACTAGCTTATCTGTTGTCCTGACCTTGTCTTGTCTTTGACCATAGATTTGCTTCTACCTCAGCTTGTCTTTAATTACAAGCTGTGCTGCCTGCCATGACCCTCACTTGTCTACTAGGTATAAAACTTAGTAGCCCGCTCTAACTTCAAACTATCCACGACCTTTGCACTGCCTTATATCACGCAAGTGGATGTTGAATAACCACCTGTTTTCTTGTCCTGGAACAGTGCTATCTCCATTCAACATATACTGTGCTTAGCAGAATCATGGGGATCGTAATCTACATTCCAAAATATCAAGTAACGCCTTTTTGGTATACCATTGGAGCTATAAACTGTGGCCCTGGTATATAATAACTGCAGTATCAAACATGTTTTTGGGAGAACCCATAAGGTTTACACCTCCTTGATAATGTGGCCAGCCAAGACCTGGAAATGTTGGGGTTCTGAGGCTTTATCTATTCAATCTGGTCTGTATAATTTTATGTGGATTTGCCATTTGAGACTTTCACTCTGTTCTCATTTGTTGTACCAAACACAATGACTATTGTACCACATGTATAGATTAGGGCCATTTATGCAAATCAAATAAAGCGTTTATTCACTAATACATACATTGAGAGTACATTGCTTAATAATATATATGTGCACCACAGTCATGTCTGGTACTTTGTATGCATAATGATACATTCAGCATAATAAAGGTATTTGAAACAATTTTATTTTGCCAATAATTACTTATGCTAGTCAAGCATCAACAACACACGTACAGTAAGCCTTATAAAGTTCACTTCTTATTACCAAGCATTGCCACCTTACATACCAGAATCTCCAGGATTTACTGTACGATTTTCAACAACAAAAAAAGAAAATCTTTTTAGGTTTGGGAAAAAAAAAATACACCTTAAAAGCCAGCTCTGTACAGCTCATTATCTCATAAAGGTAATATAACATCAGTCCAGCCTGCTTTAATGCCTCACAAGGTACATGAAAGAACGTCTTTTGATGTGAAACAAAGGCTTACCTCCACCAATTTGTTGGCATGTTCACGGAACACTTGGGCATATTCCTTTACCTCCTTCTCATTACCGCTCTTTGCTGCCTCGATGAGAACCAGCAGGGGAACGTTTGTCTCCAGAAAAGAGTCTGAGATATGGTCCATTACAGCTTTCCGGAGCTAGAAAACAAAGGGATAAAAAAGAACATATTCTATTAGTTGGGGAGACACTTTAAAACGTAAATCAGGAAAATTAACAAGCTTTACTGATCAATTAGTGTTATGGGTTCCATTGCCATTGAATTTTGGTTTTCATGGGTACTCTCCAGCCAGGCATAACATTTTTTATTTTAAACTCAGTCAGTGGCCACAGCTTACATGGTAGGTGGTTCCAGGCTTTACTCTGGTATTAAGCTTGATCAGCTGGCAGAACCATGTACCAGATCTCCGTGGCTGCCCTGAAATTGCATATCTAAATACCAAGGATGAGCTTCTCCTGGTTCCCTGATTGTTTTTTTAGGAGGAAGGTTTCACAGGATGGAATCATGAGACAAGAGACAATTATTATCTTTACAGAAGCAGTGTTAAAGTGACACTTATCTCAGTTGTTAAACCTTGAAAATGCATTAAAGGAGAACTATGAGATGAGTGATTTCCACTCGCCTCATAGTTCTATCCAACCTGTGACAATGAGACTGTCACAGGTCGGCTCAGTAGAATGGGAAGTGAGCGAACACATACCGGCGTTCGCTCACCTCTCTAACCTGTCACGGCTCTCTGCCGTGACAGGGGAGTGGCTGGATTCCCCCCTCCCCGCTCCGATCCTCCAGCGCTGACTGGAGGATCGGAGCGGGGGAGGGGGTGGCTACAGCTGGCTCTGCCTCTAGATAGGCAGAGCCAGCTGTCACTCACGCAGCTGGGTGGATCCAAACATAATTGTCGGGATCGGCTTCAGCTGCGGCGTCTCAGTATAACACGAGCTGTAACTCATGGTATACTGAGCTTAGGCTGACGGGAGGACGCTAGTTTGTGTCCTCCCATTATCCTTAGGAGAACTATGGGGAAAAGCCCTAACCCCATAGTTCTCCTTTAACTATTAACAAAAATGTAAATTATTTGTACATCACTCAGCTGTAGATCCTCAAATCATCTCTGAATTTGTTCTCACACTGTTTTTCCTTCTGGAAGGTGGCTACTTTTTTTCCCCCATGGTCCCTGTGTGTGTTGTAAAGTAGTCACCACTCCAAGTTCGGAAGATTTCATACTCCCCCTAGTCCTCCTTTCTCCTTATTTATTCCCATTGAGAAGTCACTAAGTGGCTGGTGACAGCAACATTATGGTGTAATTGGCTACCTAATGAATTATCTATAGACAGTATTTACCAAGCACTCCTGGTAGGGGGTCACATTGTATATATTATTATTTATTTAACTAGTTTTTTTTTAAATTTAGCTTTATAGTTATTGATACAACAAATATTATAAAGAGGGTTTCAAGAGTTACAGTGAAGTATGTCCACTACTTACACAGAATAAGGCTTTGTGCACACTGGCAGCAAAAAAGCAGTTGATCTATGTTTTTACCACCCACCTAAAACCTAACATGGCACCACTGAGGTTTGTACACTTGGCACTGAAACAACTTATTTTATGCAGCATAACACAATTGGCAGGCAGTGCTGCTTGTCAAACGTGACCATTGCAGTCAATGAAACCAGGACGCAGCTGTATGCCAATCACTTGCAATGCATTTGGGGCACGGTAACGCCAGTCAACTTCCAGTCAACTGATAGTACAGGTCGTAGAGAGAATTTGGTAATTGTTTAATCCTTACGCTAGGGCTTATATTAGGGACCAGAGTTATTGTGATAAAAGGATTTTATACTTATCGAGCCATGGGCTTAAAACCTTAAATGGAATGGCTGTAGTACGTCTAGAGTTAGTTGGTCACACCTAAAAGTGATATTTAATTATAGCTGCAACCTGTAAGGCCAAGTCACCCAGTCTTTTTAAAATATATATTTTGGTGGCTCCAGTGATGAGTTTTGCCTGATATAGTCCCTTGTTCTCTTTAGAATGTATTTTGGTGTCCTCACTCCTCCTGTTCAACTTTGGGAGTCCCTACTCCTCCTACCTACCTTGGGGTGTTTCCACACTTCTCTTACTGTATCCTTTCCAATGTAAAGTAAAAATGCTCTTGCTGTATGTATATCTGCAAGTCCCAGCACACATATATTACCACCGGTACTCTGAAAAAGTTACCATTAGGTGGTTTAAAGTTCAACTCTAGGCAAACATTTTTAAACTTTACAAGGTCCGTTAGTGTGGAAATTATAAAAACAGCTCAGGCTGCAATATGCACCTTAAACCCAGGTATCAGTACTTCCCTAAAACATCTACATAATTGTGGACCATTTAATCTGCAAAAGAGGCGAAGAAAAAGCATTCTTCGAACAATCACCAATATTTCTATGTAACTCAGAATATTCCGCTTTATATGTACTAATTGCTGAAACTCATAACGGTTATGACGAATTCACTTCGACAAGCAGAAGTCCCCCCTGAACTCATCAGACATACCCCCTGAGGTTGAAAGCCTTTGCTGTATAGGAATATACGGCGAATGTTCTTTAGAGCAGACGGCCAGGAAGCGCGGGTCACAGGAGATGTGTAGCTATCACAGCGGGGGGCAGCGGGTGGGCAAAATCTCCCTGGAGGGCCCCAAATATCATTAATAGCCAGCGTGGGACCGAACCCCGCTATAATCCTGAGCAACTTAAAAATAAAACAATTCGACAGAGATATGCTTTAAAATCTGCCATTGGTATGAACAAGGAATGCATTCTTCATTTTTAAACTGCTATTGTGACTCTTGACAGCTTTCCAAGACTGATAATGCAGCCACATGATCCAATCTATCATTAGGAAGCCTGGCACACAGCCCAGTCTGTTACTGTAGCAACTGAAGCCATTTACTGAGTTACTTTAAGAAGTCGGCAACTGGCTAGGTAATCTACATGGTTGTCACTGGGTTACTGACTGGATTAGTGGCATGGAAATCTATCCGGGTTTTATACCTGTGGACATGCATTGTGCTGCATTATTTCATCAAGTGATATGGTCTTCAGCCAAGTTTAATTGATCTGTGAGTTAATGCCCCTCTACACTAAAGAGCAGGCTCTGATAAGGGTTATATATCACAGAATATATAGGTTAACATTGTTTTTTAATATATGACCTGCTAGATTAAACAGCAGCCTGAAATAGTTTGTATATCAGGGAATGGAAAGATAGATAGATAGATAGATAGATAGATAGATAGATAGATAGATAGATAGATAGATAGATAGATAGATAGATAGATAGATAGATGAATAGATAAAGAGGGCACCTTTGAATATGATTAAATTGATGCCTGCTTAGAAGTCCTGTACACTGATTGTGTTTAAGGGCTCATCCACGTGGATACAGACGGCCATACACCATAATAAATTGACCTATTTCTGTGCCATGAAATCATAGGTGTTGCATGAAGCTTCTCACAATGTGCATTAAAAGCTGGAGCAAGACAAATAAAGCCTGCCTCATGCAGGGGCGGATCCAGAGTCTATTCTCGGGAGGGGCACTGCCAGAAAATTAAGTAGATCCCTGGATCCAGACAAGCCCAGCCTCCTGTCTCCCACGCTGTCAGAAAGTGGTTACTACTTAAACCGGCGCGCTGTGTGCAGCTTCTGAGAAGAAACGCTATTAGCATAGCGGGGAAGGCGGCTGCGCATTTTGCATCACTCCCGCAACGCTAATAGCGTATCTTCTCAGAAGCTGCACACAGTGCGGCGGTTTAAGTAGTAACCAGCATGCTCTGTAGGTAGCTTCTGACAGCGGGGGAGACGGGAAGCTGGGCTTGTCGGTGGATCCAGGTATCAGGTGAGTATTAAAAAACAAAAATGTTTTATTTTATGTTCCTGGGGACATGTAGGGTTCATTCACACTGGAATCGGCCGGCACGTACAGCTCCGTGCTGTGTGCACAGCCGTATCGGGCACCTCCAGGGATGGACAGGTGCTGCGTATGTTTAGTACGCAGCCCCTGTCCTTCTCTATGGGTGTATGCAGCCGTACACCCCCCTACGCTCACCCGCCCAGCACGTCCGTACGGGTGTATGTTTCCTGGCTCGGATGCAGACAGGATCCATCCTGTCAGCATACGGGTACGCTCACCCGCACCGATGTACAGGACGGGTGAGAGCGGGGCGGCGTACGGCCACGTAGTCTCATAGAGAAGAATGGGGGCTGTGTACTAATCACATGCAGCACCTGTCCTTCCTAGGAGCTGCCCGATACGGCCGTGCACGCAGCACG